CCAGTTTTTGAAGACTCTTTATTCTGATTTTTGGAAACAGCGCCTTTAACTCCACGCTCATTTGACATCACCTGTACCCCACCTGTGTTCCATGCCGTATGCTCAGTCCGATAAACGTCGTCAACAACTTGCTTAAGGCTAGTCACAGCATTTCCATCGGGAAACGCTGAGCAGTCACTACTCTTCACATTTGTCACACCCGCCTTATTCTTTTCAGTCCTATTATTGCAATTGCCGGAATTTAAGTAAACCCCATCATCTCCATTAATTTTGCCCTGGTCGCCAATTTCCATGTGCGCCCCCTCATCACTGGCACCAATCCCCTTACCTTCACCATCACTCTCGCAAAAAACAATTTTGGTCATAACTGTACCCGACACAGTATCACAATTTTCACTGGGATTAGTTTGAACTAACTTGTACGTACCACGCTTCACGAGCATGCCACTAAGTGGAATTTCAGGCTCATTTTGCACAAAATTAATATCCTCGCTAGAATCAGAGAAGTTTTCTAGTAAGGAATTCGCATTTTGCATGCCACTATCTTTCTTCTTTTTGGCATTAATTGGAGCAGGTCTCCCTTTTTTTTCTAGTCTTTGCGTTTTTACCCATAATAGCAGGCGTTGGTCCATAAGACACGCCGGCCATGATGGCATCACTCGGCGACGCCGAGGCGTCCGCCATTTTGTGTATGAAACAACCGCTACTTATAATTTAGAAAATTTTCAGCCACAGAAAAAGCACTCACCCGATATAAAAACGACAATTTGAGCTCACACACCTCTACTCAGGTGTACAATAATGTGCCTATATTGTATTTAACAAATTTAATCAGCAACTATAACTTTAATAAATTCAAACTAATATTATGCGTCGAACACCAGATAAATTGATAACTGCCACCACTCTTCAGCAACACTTCCAAAATTCCGCTGCAACTTCTCACACGTCCATACGCTACGAAGACAAACGACGAAAGTGAAACTGGAATATGCATTCACAGCTGTTTAGCAATAATAGCAACTCTGCGTATGCAAGAACAGATAGGTTAGCGTTTATCGATAGCGTGTACTATCGATAAAGATATAGCGGCCGCTAAGATCGGGAGAAATATGCGTGAAATAGATAGATGTGACTTAATTGTAAACACTTTTAATGCACATTACCATTTTCTTTTAAGTAATAAGGTATTTTTGTTAATTTATACACAAAAAAACATTTATAAACGATTTTAATAATATCAAAAGTAATATCGCAGAAGTTTTGACTGCATATTTTAGGTTTTAGGAAATTTTGGCTTGGAAAAGGGGCTGAACACCTCTTGCCTAGAAAACCTTTCTGCGTTATCCTTCTTTCACATAACATTTTTAAATTAAGTTAATTATTTTATCCATTAATTAATTAAATTTAATTTGATTCAAATTAACTTAATTTAATTTTACTTTCTTTTGTTTTTCACTTTGCTTCATTTTGCTTTACGAGTACATTAGACCGTATTACCTTAATAATAATAATTAGTATTGGCCCGTTGTCGAAATTGGACCACTGCACTTTTTTCACACACTTTTTCATTTTGCCTGGGAAGTGATTTAGGTCCATCAGCACCTGTTAATCGTCTAGCTCACTTACATATATTGTTTGGTGGAGTAATATACATTCTGTTAAATAATTTAAAAATTCATAGATGGTGCAACCAAATCAGGCACCTGCCGGATATATAGATAATAGATTGGCGCTTACACATATGTTAGTGTTTGGCCGAGCTTCTTCTCCGACTTGTGGCGTGCGCCTTGATGTTGACACACAATGCGGAGGGACCTACAGTTTTACGCCGACTCCGAACGGCGATTTTATTTTTATGAGAAGCTATTTTTCATGGCACAAATACACTCGGAGGTTTGCCATTGCCTGTCGAGGGACGACCGCTGTTAAGAAAAAACCTTTTTCTATACTTTTTGCGATGTTGCTTTAATCAGGGCTTGAACCCAGGTGCTGATGAGTGAAAGCGCACACTGCTTACCACTACACCACAGCGGCCGTATTACCTTACAACCAAAAAAAAAAGTTCTCCGACCACCAATGAGTCTAAAGCTGCCTTAACATGAAGCGATTTTCTAGGCTGTTCAACATCGCTGAGCAAAAATCGCTCGTGTAAATGGTGATTCAAAAATTGCTTGCCGAGACCGAGGAAGCAAGTGGTGTCGATAGGCGGAGTACAGAGTGCTTCTTATGTTAGGGTCTTAAGGTTGAAGGTGCATGCGAAAAGATGTTGGGTGTTGTGTGGTCTTTGTCCGCATGCTGGGCCGATACTTGCCACCTTTGAGTTCCGCGGAAAACTGCCGACCAGAAAGATTTCGCAGATTTACATTTCGGGGTTTCCGCGCAGTGCTTGCTGAGACGACCATAAATTTATCTGTCCAGTAGTTGTCTATATATTGTCACAGCAACTTCAATGCCCTCCCTGCGTGGAGAGACGACCTTAAGGATGCCCTGACAAGCCAACTCATCGCTGTTGCAATTTTCTGGAAGATCACAATGCCCTACGACCCAAACAGGTCAGGTATTCCCCAGTCAGTTTCGATCGTATCATAAGTGAACCTAGAGTACCGTCTGGCTATCAGAGTAGATGTTCACTTTTCAAATAGCGTACTATGTACACTGGAGCATAGCCAGTCAGCTGTCTCTAATATAGACGCCACCTCTGGAAGAAAAACGCTGAAGAAATACAGCAGGACTAAAATGAGATATACAGAGAGTTCTAGTAAGAACTCACCTCCTTCAACTCTGCCGTAAAAGTGCGAACTATCCGTAAAGAGGTTAATTGGATCTCTATTCAAAAGTCTGCCACACTCCCATGTGTATAGAAGGTTCTTGAGGTGTGAAGTCGAAGTTTAAAAACAGTACCTATTGCTTATAGGCCGGGTTGAGGGAAACCCTCTTGCTTCTCAGCCTGTTGGCGGACCGTATTACGGCAGCTTTACACTCAAAATCTATGACGTTAAGCATTACGTTAAGCAATAGAGCAGCAGTGGCTTTTACTAAAGGACCCCAGCTTGACGGCTTTATTTTGGTTTCATATAGCTAATAATTTACTTTTGGAGAGAGGCCCCATCTCCCCCATAGTGCTCTTGCAGTCGTATAGAGCAACAGATGCCTTTCATATCTGCTCCTAAATATTTGCCTTCTAGGAAAGTTTTCGGTGGAGGACCACGCTCAAAATCTTTACTCTTTACACCGATCGAGGGAAGCTTGGCGTTAGTTTCTTTTGAATAGGCCGAGCACCGTCTTTCCAAGATTAGTGGCAAGTCCACAGCTAGCGGATCAGTTTGTGAATAAATTTAATTAGCCCTGCATAAGATCATACATAGTGTCCTAAAACTTTACTTTTCAGCTCCTCCAGGTCAACATTTACCCAAGATAATCCAGATAAAGCGTGAGAATATTCGACCAAGGCAGCTCGCGATGATGGGAGCTAGCCAGAGGCACGGCCACAAATCTTTGCATTTTGCTGAAATAATGCTATGCGGTTCCGTAGGCTGGAAAAGCTTAAAAGAGTAAATCACCCAGAGCAGTCAGCGTTTGTTCAGTAGTTCGCCAAAAGAAACAAGTATACCAAACGAACAGGACTCCTCGCGCCTTCCACGTTTTCCCAGAATTTTGTCTTTCTTATGTCGGACTAAAAGGCACGCGGTCCGATCTTGCGAAGTTCCCAATCGGAGTGTAATCCACTCAGCTCAGCTTTATTAAAAAGGCGTCTGCTGGACACTTTGAGCTCCGAGAGCTCCATTGTCCACCAGTAGGATTTAACTTTACTTTTGACAGCGCTGTTACATGCAGATATGAACTTCTTCACCAATACATCAATTGCGCTTTCCGCAAGACAAAAAACTTTTTTTCAGCCGAACGTAGGGGTTCGCCGTTTGTCATTTTTCGTCATATTTTCGGCATTTAAAATCGGATCTTAAAGTATGGCTGTATCGAGTTTTGGTCTCAGGGCGATTTTTTTTTTGTTTCAAAGGTCATTGACCTCGAGTATCCTTACCGACAGTTCCTACTACCCTAATGCATCAGTCAGTAAATTAAAACTCTCCAAAAGTTATAAAATTTTTACTGAGAATGTTTTTGGATTAAACTATTAAAAAATATTTAATGCCGAATGTGCATACATAGGTGTTACCGAAAAATTAAAAAAAGGAGACCCTTAAGAAGAGCAATTTTTGTTTTTTTTTTTTTAAGAAATTGCCTTGCAAAAATTCTTTATACTCAGCGAAGTACATTCAAAAAAAAAGCCCGACAAAAGGTACGTATTATTGTCCGCAGAATCAGAGACTATGGTAAAAGCATGCATGTCCCATTCACAAAAATTGACTTCCGGTTAGTTTAACCCACTTCGGGTCGAAACCGGAAGTCGGTAATTTGACCAAAAGATAGAACCAGTCGGGTAATTCATATTTTTTCGTTTTCCAATAAAAACATTTTCATGTAGGTCTAATTTAAAAAAATGGACTACCGGTCAGTTTAACCCCACTCCCGTTCGGAACCGGAAGTCGGTAATACCACCAAAAGATAGAGCTGCCCCGACTTGGTTGTCAATAGTTTTGTGGTTTTCAATAAGAAAAAAAAGTTTCCCTCCATTTTAGAGGGGGTGGACGGGTTGTCTAAAACACCATGTATATGTGTATGTACATATGTATGGGCTAGTATCCTTATTAAAGCAAATGGAAAACTTTGAAGAAAGCGGCTTACTGTGCCGGATTTGTTGTTTTTTGCTATATCTTTGCTTGGATAACGTTTTTCGCTATAAAATTTTCGCTACTCAATGTATATTTGTTCAAATGTTTTCTGTTTAAGATTTTACTCTCTAAATTTTCCCTATAGCATCATCTAAAGAAATGCAAGTAAATCTAGAAAAAATATAGGTATTTTTCGCAAGTTGCCCTGTAAGAATGAAATGACTTTTATTCTTAAAAAAGTTCTTAAAATTTACTTAAATAAAAATAAAGTGTATTAAAATATTTAATTTCCAACTTAGTTTTCGGAAAGATCCAGGACTTTTGGAAACTTCGGGCTCGGGGAGAAGCACCTCCGAAGACATCCAGGAATTGAGCGCTTGAAGATGTGTAAAAGAGCGAAAGGAAATTGTGTTAAGAAATAAATGAGTTTCATTTAAGCGCTTTTGGACAAGTACAACAAAGGACACCTGGTGCTGGTAGATTTCGGGCGGGCCGACAAAAACGCACCTTCCTTTATTGACCCAACCTTGCACTATAGCTGGATAAAAGTTATTTTTCTCAGATTAGTATTAAAAGTTTTGAAAATAACCGATAAATCGAAAATAAATTTTAATTTAGCTGAATTGCATTTCTGTCACTCAGAATGCATTTAAACACTTAAAGGAGGCATTGAATTACACAACGTCCAATCCATATTCAAATAATATACCCCTTAGCTCAATATAAAGAGCTGTATAGCTTGTGAGTGCGCTTTTGTTGAATTACGGCTATGTACTTTTGAAGTCGCTTCAGTATCATATACATACAGCCGTTGTATTGTCGTTAGGCAGCGTGTGGCGGGGTTAGGATTGGAATTAAGTTCGACTCTTGAATGCATATTTTGTACATACATACATACATACCTGCATACATCTAAGCCCACATGGAGTCGTATGCACTATATGCAGATAAATATGTATGCCCCTCTATGCCGTTGACTTCACTATCCAAGTGCATTCACTCTTTTCCCCCACTTATTTATTTACCATTTCTGTGCCTAATTGTACATATCACTAAATGGGCACATATTCCTTGGGTACGTATGTATTTTGGTATGTGTAAGTCGTCGCGGCCCACGAATGAAGCATACATATGAAAGGGTCCAATGTTGGAAGCCGAGTTTTATCTGTCTGTATGCATGCATGTTGTGTTGTTTATTTGTACTTTCATACAGCATCGTCATCATTTTTGACACGGAGCTGTTGTGGTGTTCTTATATGTTGATTTTTAATTTTTTTTAAATTTTTTTTTTTATCGCTGGCTGATAAACCGACATTGTATACTTTGTACATACACATGTATGTAGTTAGGTATTTAATCACATATTGTATGTACATAAATATGTGTACATTCGAACAGACATAACGTCCACGCTTGCTTAGACAGTCAGTTACTTAAACGACAAGGCAGTCAGCCAGCAAGCCAGTCCCTCAATCCTATAGCTTTCTACGAAATTCTTATTTATTTGTGATGTGATTCTCGCGTGTTCGCGGCAACGCATACCTTATCACTTTTTTGTTGTTGTTGTTGCTATGTGTTTTTAATGATCGTTCCTGCGTTGAAGTAAAGTTGTCGGCGGTGTTGGTGTTTTGGTGAGGGCTTTGATTGCTCTTTTATGTGTCTGTATGCGCAATAGGGTGGTCCAAAAATGCATGTGAAAAAGTAAAGTCGCAATTTTTATGCTATTTTTTATTTTGAAATAAAAAAATATTTAGAGGTCGCCCAAAGCGCTCAAAGTTTTCCATGTATTTTATATGGAGAAAAAACCACTTTTCGTAGAAATGGTATACAAATCTTGAAATTCAATATGTTTCGATCGGAGAACTGTATTTCTCTTCCGGAGATTCCCAATAATAATACCAATTAATTTAGCCATTTTTTCATAGTAATTACATATGTTTTATAGGTCCGCTGAAATCCCCAGAAAATGCAATGGGGGGATAAATAAATATTTTTAATTTCAAAATAAAAAGATATGGGTATATTTTTTTCGATATAGAAAATCCTAGGGGGTGGAAGCATTACAATTCCGACTACTTATTTTGGACCACCCTAATGTGCACACACACGTACATACATGCATGCGCGCTGTGTATATTTATCATATATGTATTCACTATTTATTTATGTACGGAGTATATATGTATGTACATAATGTGGTCCGCGCATTTTATCGCATTTCGAAACCATTTAAATTTCGCTGCCACGCACCCGACGCGATCAGTACGAAATGAACAGCGCGAGTTGACGCGACCCCAGACGTGCCGCGAACGCTGACCAGCGCGCTCCAGTAAAGTGGGTGCGCGCGAGTGCCCAAAGTGTGCGCGTTGGAGTCAAAGCACAAGCACGAGTGGTGCTATGTAGTTATACCGAAAAGGACTTCGTCATCATCATCATCATCATAAACGGTGTTTTTGCCACGGTGCACTTGCACTTTTCGTACTCACTGGTGCAAAGCTTTAAAGCTCTTGGAGCGTCTGCATACAAGCTTTAACTACTCCTCGAGTACTTAGGAAGTTGAAAGGATAAAAGCAGTCTTCGTTAAGAAAGTGAAGGATTAAATTGAAGTGAGGGAAAAGTGAGCTGGAGCGCCTTCGCAGTAATCTTTGTGTAGCTGAACTTCAGAATGCATCTTGCCTACGGCTGCCTCAGTGACTGACTACAAAGTCATCGAACCTCACTATACTGCGCTTTTCGAGCAAGCTGTTTGGTGTCCTGTGGATCAGTGCAATATTTTTTTATTTTCATTTTTATTTTAATATTTTTTTTTTTAAATAAGTAGTTGTACTGTAGTAGTAGTTGTCGTGTGGCTGTTTTTCTTTGAAAATTTATAATTTTCTTTATTAAAAATGTGTGGTTGCCTTTTTTTGGGCGCTTGTGTGTGTATTGAAGCTTTAATTAGTTTAAAAACTATTAAGTAATCGTAAAAATTCCAAGCCTTATGTTTTAATTTGCTTTAATTTTAAGTTATCTATATTTTTTAATGTACTTTCAAACAATGTTTATGTATAACAACAAAATCTTCGCAAGTCTTCCATTTGTTATACATAAATTTGTAAATTTAATTTTTTTGTTTTCTTTTGTTTTTGCTTTAAAATTTAAAAATTGCATGTAAGCCTTTTATGATGTTAAAATAAAAAATGAATTTTAAAAATATTTTTGTAATAAAATATAAAAAATATGAAAAAATAAAAATATGCATTAAAATTAAACGAAATATGTTTTTATTAGAAAAATAAAAAGTTTCGCTGAATAGGTGTGCAAAAAATAAGAAAACTCAGGATAAAAAATAAGTTCGCCTCTTAGAATTTTATGGTAGGTACACTTCCCCCACCGAAAATTAGGGCGACGGCAGAGGATGTGCGGAATCCGCGTTGCTTGGCAGATGTGGGGTGCAGAAGCCCTCAACCCGGGACCCTCGCTGACAAGGAGAATCGCACGTGTGCGCCATTTGGCGCGCTGACGTGGAGCTCATACATGTCGATGATTGCCACCGGCATCGTTTTTAGGCCAGTGCACCAGCGCTTGGCAAACTTTGCTAGTTTGCTAGCAAGGATCATTCAGAACCCCAGCTAAAAATTTCCGCGGCCCAATGGTAGGTAAACAGCAACCGTTGGTAGCACGGGAACTGTTCCCGAAAGCTGCGTCAAAAGTGGGGAAGTTGGCGTGGTTTGCATGCAGCAGGGTGTGATGCCCTTCCTGACAAAATTGGCACGTCCCATTTCTCGGATAGTTCTTCGCGGTGCGTGAGTAGGATAAACATCGCGAGCAATACCGATGGAGAAGCACAAGGCGTAGCCGGCGCTCATAGTTTGCATCTAGGAATTGCTTACGATAACGGAGAGCTTGCGACCCGTGCCAGACTCTGCATTTAGACCTGTCTTCCGTTGCTGCGCACTGTGCGGAGGCATCTGTGAGTGGCGTCGCAGGCAATGCGCGTGTCACTGGAGGGGAGGCGCGTGGCGAAGACAAAAAAAGAAGGTATTGATATGAAGGGTTAGTTTGGTAAGAGCACTAATTTCCCGAAGCAGCGCGTTATCAATCCCTTTTTTGTGCGGATGTCTGCAACACGAATTCTTTTATCAGTACTTTTATAAATCTTTGGGACCCTGCCCAAGCGCCACTCGTTAGGAGGAAGGCTTTTAACGGTGACCTACAACTAGGTCATCCAACGACGGCAATATCCGTTTGAAATGATTTTCATTTGTAAGCGTTTATGGATGTAGTTCTTTTAGATATTCGTCTTTCCATTGAAGTGAGTGTTGGTAGCTAATTTCTTTATATCTTGGGGCGAAAGTATTGGACCACCAGTTAGAAAGTGACCAGGTGTGAGGGCCTTACAATATGCAGCGTTAGAATTGGGCGATATTGGCCTAGAATTTAGACAGGATTCAATGGGAAAAAGTACGGTTTGAAATTTTTCAAAGGTGAATTTTTTAGAAGCGGCGGTACGTCTGATGCATGTGAGAATCTTCGTTCTATGACACCTTTGCTGATTTTAAACGCTCTGCCAGTAAAACTCTAAACATCAAATGGGTCGGAAAAATCGACTCCAGTACTTTGAAAAGGCCTGGAAAGGGTCACTTTCTCTTCAGGAAGGGCAGCCATGATTTGGGATTGATCCAGCTTTTTATGAATGTCGCAAGCTTAGCAGTTATGAATGACAGCCTTTTTGAGATTATTTGCCTTAGGAGTGCAATACTGTTGGCGAAGCAGCCGTAGCACCAATTGATTTCCTCCATGAAGAGAAACGTTATGGATAAAGCGAACTAACAAGCTTGAGAACGAACAACTATAAGATAATAATGAGATGCTTTTGATTATAGGACGAAATGAGCGAATTTGCGAGTCGACCATTGACTAGCATTATACCCTAACAGTCTAAGCGGGGATTCAAGATTAGAATTTTGCTTTTCGATGAAATTGGAGTTTTTGAAGTCAGAACACTCTGTCATTCTGAAGAATGTTTCAGCCGATTACGAATTTTCCAGATTTCCGAAGGATATGAGTGGAATCTTCGAGTGTGCCAGTTAGTTCTGTTGTGGAATCAAAAGACGCAAGCTAAAACACGCAGTGCGCCTGAAACTTCTTTCTGTATCTTCTGTATCTTTGCCACTTGATTAGCGACGAGTAGAGCCGCATTTTGAGCTATGAAAAAAAAACGATGGTTGAGTCTATTCAGCAAAATATATTTTGCGCTTTGAAAGTATATGGGAAATGGGATAGTTTCCAAAATGTAAATGTTTTTTGCGCCAGCCTCATCAGTTTTAGGCACTCAAAAGTTTATTGTTTTGCGAAAATAGTGCATCAATTAAGTTATAAAACTATATTACTATAAATATCTTCCAATTTTTAATACGTTTTCACGTTTCATCCTTTTTTAAGGCTGTTCTTTAATTATTATTTTTTTGCTTAGTTTTGTGAAATTTGATATCGCATACCCGTGCAGCTTAGCTGGCAAGTATGCATCGTACATACATATGTACATATGTATATGTATATTGGGGTAAATACTCAAGTAAGTATGTAAATATGTATACAATTATCTGCAAACATGTGTGTACATTAGGGTGGTACGAAAATACGTGAGAAGAAATAAAGTCGGCATTTTTATGCCCCCACCTCTAGGATTGTTCTATACCGAAAAAATTTACCCCTATGTTTTATTTTAGAGATCCACCGAAAACCCCGAAAAATGCAAGGGAGACCAAACAAAAAAATGTATATAAAATACATGGAAAACTTTGAGCGCTTTGAGCGACCTCTACTATTTTTTTAATTCCAAAATAAAAAAGGGGTATAATTTTTCGATATAGAACGATCCTAGGGGGTGAGAGCATTAAAATTCCGACTTTACTTTTTTTGGACCACCCTAGTGCACATGCTGCAAAATTCGCGCATATGGGTGAGCATATTAATAGTCGCTTTAAAGAAAGCGCTGCTGCCAATGAAGTCATAAAAAAGTTATGATTTTCCATAACGAAAGCCATTCGAGACGGGAATAAAAAAACACGATGAGTAGGAGTTTTGAAATTCCTGGAAATTATCATAAATATTCAATTCTTTTTAATTCATAGTTGAGCCATAAATGAACTCAATGAAATACAATTAAACTGAAAATTGAGTTTTTAATTACACAGTTCAATAAGTTTAAACATTTTTGCAACAGCATAGCATGGTATATTTTTGAAAGAAAACATTGAGCTGACAGCGAAAACCGCTGAATAAACTCATAGTCCAAGTCAGAGTTTTGTCTTGCTTACACTCAAAGGTTAAGAAGGTAAAAGGAATTTTTGCACCACACGCGCGCAAAGTTTTGAAAACAATGATGTCATACAGTTAATGTAAATTTTTTACTTAGTATTGTTGTTCACTGAAGAAAAGTACGAAAGTTCAGATGGTGGGGTGGTTCGAAGCGCAGGTACACAATATTCAACTTTTCGTCAAACCCCACATTTCTTAATTTAAGACAATTTTATTCTAGTATGTATTATAAAGACACTTATGATCTCTTAACCTTTGAGTGCAAACAAAAGGAAACTCAGATCTGTAGGATGACAACAAAAAAAAACAAAAAAAACAAGTATGGCAAACTTTATCGAAATCGTCTTTTGACTAAAAAAATCCACATTCCTTGCCGATTTTGAAGGCCTCCAGCCTTTTTGTTGTCCATACATTTTGGGTCTTCTAACTTTATGCTGGATTTACTAGATAGTCATTAAATGGCACAGATTTTAACTAATGACAAAAATGGACATTTAAAATTCCCGTCCCATTATTTCCATTAAAAATAGTCGGTAAGTTCTTTTTCGCTTTTTTTTGGACAATTTCTGTTGAAAATATATTGCATATTGAAATTCCAAAGTTTAAGAGAATTTTATTCTTCACAACTTGTATACCTACGTCGCTTAGATCACGGACGGGAATGTGACAAACATAGCGATTAGCCCAGTTTTTCGTTAAGAAAATGTCTAATTTTATTGGGCTAAAGCCTTCTGAGTTAGTTTTAAGTTCCTTGTTCAATTAGATACTCCAAAAATTTTGCGCTAAGAAGAAATGTTAATTTTTTGACAAAAAAACAACTGTTTTTGTTTGCGAATATAAGCAAAATTTTCACAGAATTTATGTAGGCATATTTGTACAAAATCTAAAATTATCAGAAACAAAATGAAATTCCTCAAAGAAAAAAAATCTTAAACAAATATTTGAAATCATGTAGTTCAAAGATAATTTAAGTACACATGTTTCTTCAGAAAACAATTTTTTTTTAAACTTTTTTTTTAATACATTTTGTTAAAAAATAAAAGAAGTGCCACGTTTTTGACAAAAAAATGTTTTTTTACCAAAACAAACAAAATTCATTCCTCAAAAATAAAAAAAAATCGTATACAAAAATTTTAAATTATGTGATTTAAAAATTTATATGAGAAAAAACACATTTTTCTTCACAAACTAGAGTTTTTTAAACTAATTTTTTGTTTTTAATTGAAATATTTTTAAATCTAAATTTTGTTAAAAAATGGGGTTTTCACCAAAAAAAGGCACATTTTCACAGAAACTATTTTTATACAAAAATTTTAAGTTTATTATAAACAAAATTAAATGTTTTCCTTAAAACTTGTATACAAATATTTTAAATTATGCGATTTAAAAATTTGTCTAAGAAAATTTAAAAACATACATATGTGTACTTTTTTCAAAAACTAAACCTTATTTTCGGTTAGAGTAAAATTTTTTCATGGGAATATCCCCTTAACCCGGCTTTGATTACCATACTGTAAGTTTTTGTTAGTTTGTTGAGTGTAACATCAAACATACTTATTTTCAAAATTTTGCTTTTTCTAAGGGCAACAATTTTTGGAAAAAAACGAAAACACTAAAAACTATCAAAATTTCTATGAAATATTTTTCAAGTTTCCAGTTTTCAGTTGAAACTGGTGTTTTTTTGTATTTCTGTACAGAAACAATGAAAAGAAGAAAAATATCTAGTAAGTACCAAGCCGTATTTGAAAAGTGCTTTCCGCTGATTAAAAAGAAGTTCAGGAAGTATTTGTTAAATAAAAAAAGAAGACAATTTGTGATTTTTCCATTTAGTTTTTATTTAAAATTCCTGTAAAACTTTTTCTTTTAAAAATTCTTAATTTTTAAATATATTTTTGTTTTTATTTAAAATTTTTTTTTTGATTTTCGTATGCCATAAAAATACCTAAACTTTTCTTTGCATTCAGAGTTAACATCCCACATTTTTGTACAATCAGCATTATTTGTAAGAGAACAATTTTTAATAAATTTTTTTCATAACAAAAAATTACAAAATTGCGTATTTTTAAATTTCATCAAACAAAATGATGCATACCAGAAATAGTAAACTTTTTTCATACGAAAAATAGTCACATTCCTTAGTAGCATCTTACAGCTTTTTGAATTTGAGTTTCCAAATTTTTTCCAATGCGTTTTCTTGTCTTTGAATTTCTCCGAGTTACGAGTATCCCACCGACGCGTACGTTGCGCAAGGTCGCAGTGACCAAACCTTGCTTCATCACGTTCATACATGCGCGCGCATGCGCCTAGCAGCCAGCAGTATTCCATTGAAAATTTCCACTTTTCGCCTAACACAAATGAGTCCCTACAATTTCAGTGCCACCGCTCAATGTTTGCCAGCCCCATCGCTGCCTCTACGCTTGCGCCCAGCGATCCATAAAGTTCCATTGTATTTTATATGGCTCGATGGTCTCACGCTGCAGCGAGGTCCAGAAGAAGGTGCCGGCATTGGTGCGCGCAAAATGCACTGGCACATAGAATTCATCTTTCTGCACTGTTTGTAAGCGATGCGTACCATCTTCATTGTAGACCACAATAGCTGCGCCATCCTCACACATCTCCAATTCTTCGACTAGCCGCTGCTCGAGGTCTTCGTTGGCGCGATTGTCCATCTCGTTGGCGAGCCATTCAAAATCTGCATCGCGTTCGCCATTCGGTGAGGCGGCAATATATGAATTGCGGTTTTGTTGGCGTTTCGTGCGTGATTTGAAGAC